AAACAAAAAAATCCTATATTTCCGTCACGTATTTTATCTGTTTGATTATTATCAGGCAATTTACGAGAATTTGGTAGTACTGCCCCTAAATTTATTTCTGTTCCCCAGATATCGAAGCGGAATGTCAGGATGACTTTATGAAGATCAAAGTCGGTTTCAACGGATCCTTTAGCGGACTTGTTTACTCAGCAGGTAATTATATTATAAAAAGCTTTTATTTTAAGTTTCAAGTACAATTAAGCATACGGTACAGAGATGTCCAACTTTCAAGAATAAGTCATTGTTGAGAACATCGCACAACAAAGCAATCTATTGTAATAAATTAGAAAGAGCTGGTGTGAAAGGTTACATTATAATTGTTGCACTGCCACGCCCCCTTCCGTTAACGGCGTGAATTAACACTACAGTACTCCGCAACAGTTAGGAAGATTGACGCGGTGTTAACTCATTGGGGAACTGGGTAAATTACTTAATAATGTACATTTAACATAGTAGCACTTCGACATAAGTCATCTAGTGCACTTGATTTACAACCTTAATATCAAGGGATTAGAGTACTTTTGCGTTGTCATTTATACAAGAGTATTTAGTCTTCGAAATGCCAAATCCTAAGTACATATTATAACGCATTAAGTTTTTTTTCTGTATTTTCGGTAGTTTAAATAACTTAATAAAATATGTACTGATAAGTTTTTCCTATCATCTCTGTTTTTTGAGCGTGTTTTTTTTAATTTTCATAAAATTGAAGAAAAATATCTACTACAAAGTTATTCAGTGAAAAAGTTTCCTTACTTAAGAGACATTTGTGCCTAATATCAGTATTTTGCAAACAATACATTTGTTATCGTTTGCTGATAACATTTCGACTCACCGTGAGACATTGTTTGAAACGTTATTTAATACGTAATTACAAATTGAAAATTATTACCTCTGATATCTGTTAATGAGATAATATCTTTTTATTGTTTTATAATCTTTATTTCTATTGGCTAATTATTAGTACTTATTGCAAAAGCAGCAAGCAGAAGTATTTAATAATCGTATCTAATATATTAACGATTTACCCTTGTTTCCTTATTTTTTACCCAAAAATGCTATGTTATATATTATTCTATATGTTAGTAGAATAATACCGCGTTAAAACTTAAAGAAGGTATTTCAATATTCAAATTATGAGCCTTATAATTATTGTTATTTGACAGGGTATTCATATGACCCGGATTGTATGTACATCAATGGTTCTGGACGAGAATACTACGAGTTCTACATACAACTGAACCGTTGTGGTACTCTCGGGAGAAACGGACAGCATGAAGACACGAAGAAACATCCCACTGTAAGATTTTATATTATATTCAAAACTTCAATTTATAATTAACATATGTAAATCCTTAGATTTGTTAGCTGTTGCTCGCGACTTCGTCCGCATGGGATTAAAAAAAAGACAGTAAATTACTCAGTGGTTACTGTGCTTTTTGATGGTGCAAGAATTTTTTAAATCATGCCAGTAGTTTTCGAGTTATTACTAATACATACAAAAATACAAGTCTTTCTTTTTTAATATATGTGTGTAGATTTCATTGTTAACAATTTTAAATTTACGTAATGTATTGGAACGCATGCATCTAATCTAAAATCAATTTTAATTTTATCGTTAACCTATTTTGTTAATGATAGCCAAAAAAGGTTACTAATGTTATTTAAATACTATAATAATGTACTTTGTTTTCATGTAATGCTTTAACTTAAACTTAATTTGAATACAGAAGAACTTGATGTGGAACACGATCACGGTGCAGTACAATCCGCTGATAGAGGAAGACCTTGACGAGCACTTCAAGGTCACCTGCGAGTACGGATACGACTTCTGGAAGACAGTCACCTTCCCATTTCTTGAAGTAGAGTAAGTATGACAATCAGTTTAAAAATTATAATAAGTTTTCCTGCGGATTGCGCTAAAAACAAGTGATTTGTTTTATTTTTATGTTCCTCATTTAAATTAAGAATTCCTTTAAGACTAGTTCGATGTGTGTAGGGTGGCGACAGGCAACCCAGTAGTGTTCACACTACAGCCGCCAGAGTGCTACATGGAGATCCGCGGCGGGTACAGCGCGACCGGCGCGCGGATAGCCGGCCCCGTGCGCGTCGGCGACCCCCTCACACTGCTCATATACATGCGCAGTTCATATGGTAAGTAATATATTATGAACATAATAATCGATCATTAATTTGATTCAAAAATGATTTAACTAACTTAATAAAACTAGCTGCTGCTTGAGACTTTGTGCTTGTGAAATTAAAAAAAAACCATCCTATGTACTCACTGATGCCGTAGCTTTTTAATGGTAAATTTAAAAAAATACAAAAAACCTTTCCTCTTTATAATATTAGTATAGATATAGAATTATACTCGTAAATACGATCGATTGGTATTGCGACCTTTATTAACAGAAATAATGGACAATGACAAGATTGAATATAGAATTCGGCAATGGGATAGTCTTTAACATTTATAATTTTCTAACTTTAGCCCGCGACTTTGTCTTGGAATTAAAAAAACAAATGTGAGCAGCCTATGTGTCCTTCCAGACTATCCTCTATATCTATACCCAATTTTATCAAAACCCATTTAGCAGTTTAGGCTAAAAACTCTAACAAACATCCATCTATCTAAACATTAATAGTATGATTAAGAAGAGCGTTCCATAGTTCAGTATGGAAAACGTTTAACTTATTTTTGTAATCGTTCGTTGTCTTTATTACTTGTTAAAACTTTAAATTTAACAAAATCTTCGATACGGTTCAGTCGCCCATCGTAACCATAGATGAGCAATATAAGAAAGATCGTAACACAAGGGCGGTGTAACGGAGTCACAAGTTGCGTGACTTGGTGCAATGCTCTGCCAAATTCTTGTAGGTTCATTGATCCTTTAGTTTTAGGCAAAAGACTCAATGTGGGTCAGTAAATCTTGGCGGTTAATATATTGATTTAACAATCAAACTATGTTCCGTTTTGTTATAAATATAATACCCGTTACTTCGGTCTCGAAAGATGTATGCTAAATCTTTGGAGAATTCTAGCTTGTTATTGTTAATTCGCAGATAAATTAACTTATAATGTGTGCCTTATCAAGATGAAATGATTATAATAAACCCATTATTATGACATAAAATAATTAATAGTATAAACTTTGATTTTCAGACGGATTCGACATTGTAGTGAACGACTGTTTCGCACATAACGGCGCGGGCAAGCGTATACAATTAATAGACGAGTCCGGGTGAGTAAACGCTGTTTTATTAATGGTAATGTAGTTAGATGTTTTAGTATTAAAATTTGAAGAACATTTAAGAAAAATAATCTATAAACTAAGTTGTTTTGCTTAAAAATTCTTAAATAAAACGCCAAAAGATAACCGCACTGTATCGAAATAGTCTGGATTCAATAATACGTAGAATTAGGTGCTACAGTTACAAGAATATGAAACACTTTTACTTCAACTGTTAATATTGTTCTATTTTCTATCATCAGTTTTTGCAAATTACGTTATCATAGATCAGATCGCAACAAAAAGGCAACGCAACGTGGTAATGAATATTTACAATGCTTACATTGTGCGTTGTGAATTTCTTTATTCAACAATAGACAGCTGATAAGATTTACACCTGGGACTTTAGTTTTCTAACCGTTACCTTGGAGTGTATAACTGTTGCCTTACGGAGGTGTAATTATATCACTTGGATGACCTTTTTTATCATTTTACTTTTTTTCGCGGTGGAAATCTTAGTTTCTTGTCCCCGGAGTGGATCAGGGTTGTGTAGGGTGATACCCACTAAAACCTCCTCGGTGGCCATCCTCTAGTCCTACTGGTAGCACTCCGGGATATATTATATTATCTAGAAAGGTATAAAAGAAAGATTAAAATTAGTATTAGATATAAAAAAGAAGTAGTGCAAAATGGTAAAAATAGACTACCTACACCAGACGGTTGAAGTAGACGGTTCTAATATTCGATTTATCTAGTAAATGCCCCTTACAGTAGTATTGGTAAAGAATGGCTATCACAACCGCCTGATTTTTCAGAGTCCCACTTTCTGCACCTCTTGTTAAGACTGATCTATTGGTTCTCTTAAAGATGAAGCAAAAGTAGCGAGAAACTATCTCTGTGACATTGTGACAATGCTTTTAATCGTGGACGATTATGACCAAATGTTTGTTCCCTAGATGTCCAGTGGAAGAAAAGCTGATCTCACGTTTCCGAGGCTCGTGGTCTGAGTCAGGTGTGTACGAGACGCAGGTTTACGCTTACATGAAGACCTTCCGGTTTACCGGCTCCCCAGCGCTCTACATCGAGTGTGACGTCAGAATGTGCCATGGACGGTGTCCTGTGAGTAAACTCTCGTAATCTTACGTCACAAATCGATATAAGCATCTTAACACTATAATCACAGCAAATCGATTATTCGTTAACAACTTAAAATTAATAATTTAACCATCAAACTTTCATCTTATTATAACATTCGTTTTTGATTTTTGTCTTGTCTGTCATGGTTATCAATAAACGATTTCAATATTTTGATACACAAACCTTTTCACGCAATGTTAATATAGTACAAAATATAGTTTCTGTATAACTTATCTTCCCATTTACTAACATTCATTTCACCCATCTCTAGTCGCAACCGTGCCACTGGCGTAACATGAAGAGTGTACGGCGGCGTTCGGTCGCAGGGCGCGAGGGCGCTGCGGGGGTGGAGGGGCAGGAGGGGGCGGCGCCGCGACTCTCAGAGAACATCTCCCTGTTCCAATCACTGCGAGTCCTGCAGGAGGACGAGGAAGATGCCGAAATGGCTCCCAGCACAGGTATTAAGTGAACAAAATTGCTTACCAGTTTTAATTATAGATTTATTTCTTTACTGTATCAAACACAGCTCCTTTTAAGTAAATATAGTTGAGACGTTTAATCCTTATGTTTCGTAAAGAAACAGACTCTCTTCTACGTTTAAAACGAGGGTTATAAATATGGCATTACTAGATTTCGCCCGAATTAAAAAACCACACAAACTAAAGTAAATAGCTTATGTGTTCTTCCAGACTATCCCCTACAACTGTGCCAAATTTCATGGATATTCGTTTAGTAGTTTAGGCTACAGACTCTAACAAACATCCATCTAAACTTTCGTATTTAGAAATTAGCAAGAAGTAAGATAAATGATACAATGTTATATTGCTGGATATTATCATTCTCCTAGTAGTATTAGCGGTTTACCATGTTTTTGTCTTTGCAGCTTCTACTGATGGTCAGACTTGCATCAGATCGTCAGCGTTGTCCGCGTTGGTGGCGACGTGTGGCGCATTGGTGGCGGCGCTGTGCGGCGCGCTGCTCGTACTGGCGCGCGGCCGCCGTCACACCGCGCCAACTGACACCGCACACGCATACGTACCGCATAAAGGACGGATTAAATAGAAAATTGTGTACTGTGTGATTGAGGACTTGGAACCGATTAGTGCTAAATAGTCCCATAGTGAGACTTTGTATGTAGTATGGTAAGGTTTTACTGTATGTAACCATCGAATTTCGAATGGTGTGGTTGTAATTTATTTCCATAGATTTAATAGTAAATGAACTTCTTAAATGAAATTTAAGTATGACACTAAGATCAAGTTAATATTTCCCGCCATAAAATGTTTTTGGTTCATAATTGTATGTATTTAAATTTTAGATTTTTTCATGGTTTACTTGTAATAATTATTTCGGGTTTGATTTTTATTTATATATCTTATTAGTAAGGTATGTAAATGCATAAAAATAAGACCAATCTTCATAAATATTGAATAATTTATTAATGATGTACATACAAATAAGTATTTTTAAGTAAAAAAATAATACAGTATTCTTAAGATTAATTTGAGTTAATAACGCACATTGCTATTGACGAATAGTGAGGATTTATATTTGATTATTAAAAATATATCTCCTCCTGTTTGCTTTTATATACTATTTGTGATGTAATAAGTTACTAATTTAGTAAGTTTATATTTTAAATCTAAGATAGTATATTAATATTACGAGGAAATATATATTTCTAGATTTTCAAAAGCATTTTGAAAGCAATGTAAAATACGTTTATTTTATCATTTTATGTTATCATAAATTCCATAGAAATATGGAATCTGGTTTAGTAAATGGACCCCTAACTGATAAGTCAAGATGGTGGTTATATGAAAATTAAATATTAAATATAGTTTTTTTTAAGGCAACAAATCTTTTGGAAATTACGTGAAAAAGTTTAAACATTTTTTTTTACTAAAATCAAGATAAATTTTGATGTAATCTTACACAATGATATTTTATTTATTCTCTTTATGGTAACTATATTTGTGAATTATTTAAATTGTAAATAGTAATATTAATTTTGGATTAATTTATTATGTACACTTAATCTAGATATATTAAATTGAAAATAAAGTAAGTAAACTAAATCGAACTAAACATGTGAAAATTATTATATTTCCCATTCGTTAGTTTTTTTGTTTTGATAAATTCATGTATTACTTTCCGCACTTCGTAACTTGAGTTTTACTCCGTTGAAATATGACAAAATAAGTGTAAACTGTCCAACTTGATAACCAGTATTAACTGAGCCCTATTTTTAATCGCAACTAGTAAAACACATGCAAATGTCAAATTTCGAAATAATGTTAGCGTTTTTCGTGCAGTGTTGTGTTGTACATGTATACAGTAGCTTTCATCTCTTTTACACTTAAATTAGTTTTAAAATGACCAAAAACACTCAATTGTGTGAACGTTTTAGTGATGAATGAACACCTATGACTAGTTGACTGACTTCCCAAAAGAAGGAGGTACTCAATTCGTCTATATGTTTTTTTTTATCAATTACAAATCTAATAATAAAATATGTTTTGCAATTTGTATTTGGTTTAATATTGATGTTCAATTCGATATTGCGTTTTAAAGTAATTTTACAATTTTTCCCGATAACTTATTAAGTATACGAAAACATTATTAATTTTATTTTTTTTCCGGTTTTGGCACATTTTAGTACATAACTATTTAAAAAAGTTTAAACCTGGCAACACTCGAAATATCATTTTACTTGCTGCGATTAAAACAGGCGATAGTCAAGGTATATCAAAAATGAAAAGAAAATAAAAATAAAAAAAAACAACATTTATTAACTTACACACAAAAATGGGGTAAATGAACACAGACAAACAATACTTATAACAAAGTAAAAATATTACATAATTCGTTGAATCGATTTCACAATAAATTATTAAAAATTAAAATCAAAGACATTTTTGTATAAATTTGTATAAAATAAATACTGTATATAATTTGTTCATAATCAAAAGGTACGTGATATGATTTATTTGTGGGTGGCGGGCAGTTGTTCTAGAAACTTCTCCAGGTACTTGATGGCACCGTCCAATATTTGTACTTCGCATTGCTTCAGCAATTTTATGTTTATCCTGGAAACAAAATTATATTTAACTGAGGTGATTTAGATTCACAGAACGCAGTAGATGGCGCTGTCATCACATTATCGTAATTTTTTTTCATTAACAAAATAGTTAAAACCATTAGAGGTAAACCAAATCATACAAATTCAGCATTGAATCTATACTCATAATGTAAAGAGGAAAAATTCTTATTTTTGTATTGAAATAACTCAAAAAACTACTGAACTGATTTCAAAAATTCTTGCTTTATTAAAAAGTCATGTTATTAGTGAGTAACGTCGGCTTTTTACTAATCTTTTTAATTTCATGCGGGCGAAGTCGCAAGCAACAGCTAGTGAATAAACACGATAAATATTTTAGAAGTATAGTGCAATAACTTCTTTAGGCCGGTGAGCAATAATGACTTTGCTTACCGAGCCAGTTAAAAATTTTGACTATTTGACTTTTCAATGTCAAAAAAGCCCCAAAACTTTTCTTTATTTAACATGTAGGCATATTATTAGTTTTTTACAATTACCTGTGTGCATTATCAGGAGGTGTTTCTGTGTCCTTGTAGGCGGCTCGTATGAGTTTGCACCTCGTCAGCAGGTAGCCGTGCGCGCGGCGCTCCAGCTCCCCGCCCACAGCCGCACTACTGCCCTCGTCCCACGACACCAGCTCGCCGGGGACACCGGCATTGGACCACTTTGATAGTTCCTCTGAACAGGAGTTTTTTTTTAAATTGTGACTGGTAAACGACAATAACCACTGCTATGCCACATAAGGACAAAAATCAATGCAGATTAACGCCACGATGTAGTCCCGTGTTGCAATTTGGGAAAAAATTTCCCAGGGATCGAGCAAAGGGTAGTGGATTCCGGGACCCTCAAATCGCACCTGAATGCGTCCACCGAGGGGTTTTCAGTGAGTAGAAATCTCACATGTCCCCCCCCCCCCAGATTTCAACAAAAAAAATACTACATAAGAAACTTCGACTACAATTTTCGGGCTAGGGCATTTTATAGTTATTAATTTTAACCCACTTCGTGAATATTTAGGATTCAATCATAATTTTCGTGATAGACCTTTTAGTTATTAATTTTAATAGTCAAAACAGTACTTAGATTGAAGGTGCGTTAAGGAATTTATGAATAAAAATATGCAATTAATTGAATTGCTATTTCATTTGCGTGCCCTTAAAACAAAGGCGCTATTGTATGCTTAACTGAACAGAAGTAGTTGCTAAAATTAGTCTTCGAGAATCTAAAAATTAAGTTATTCAGCCAAGTTTGCGGCAGAAACAAATTAAGAATCGAAGATCAATCTATTCAAGAGCGATCTTTTTTTTTCAATCTTAAAAATGCAAATGTTTAGATGGATGGATATTTTTTCACTGCGTACCTAGAACAGCTCAACGGATTTTGCTGAAATTTGGTATAGATGTAAAACCTGAAAAAACAAATACATATAAGTTTTTTAATTTCACGTGGACGGAGTCGCGGGCGGCAGTTACCTTTTAGTTAAAAAGATGTTCTTTTTATCAACTTCTACAGACTCTTGGCCCGTACTCTTTTTTGCAGTTCATTTTTCTTCTTTTTTGCTTTTTTTTGTTGCGTAATCCTTATAACACTAGTGAGTTCATTTTTTTTTTAATATATTTTTTTTCATAAACACAATTATACTACAAACAAAATTTTTACTTATACTAGCACAGTCATTAAGATGTTAGAAAATTCGACTTACCCTGGTTCATATTAAATATCCGTATAAAAGCGAGTAGTTCAGCGCTGACCGGCGCCTCTCCGCGGTACAGCTGGAAGTAGGTGAGGTGCGACAGGCCGAGCTTGCTGAGCAGAGCCAGCCGCGTGCTGCGCGCCGCGTCGCCGGAACTGATGCCCAGCGCCAACGACAGCGAGTCGTTCGGGTTATCCGGGTACACGAAACTGACAAGTAAACATTAGAAACTAACGATCCGGTGAGAAATGGTCAAGAAATTATCGATACTTTCAAGAATGGGAGATACAGAGAAAGCGATCCTTTCTTATTATGCCCGGGTACCGAAGAATATATATCACATCTTTTATTATATCCATACTTTTTGTGTGATATAAAATATAGCCTATGTTAATCTAATATTATAAATGCGAAAGTTTAGTTGGATGGATAAATGTTTGTTAGAGTTTGTAGCCTAAATGACTGAATGGATTTCGGTTAAATTTGGTACAGATGTAGAGGATAGTCTGGAAGAACACATAGGCTCCTCACTTTTTTTTTTAATTCCACGTGAATGGAGTCGAGAGCGAAAGCTAGTAAGTGATAATGTAGCTTTCTGCATGTTTTCGGAGACCGTTCAATGTAAACAAATAAAATTGGCAAATTATAATTATAATTTAAATAATTAATTATTATAGGAAAGAACTGAATTATTTATAAAACACCTATACAACAAAAGTTATTTAATACAGAACTTTTAGATTAAATTTTAAAATATAAAAGCTTTAAAACAAATCAGTAAAAAACTATCTTTATATATGCAGTAATTTTCATAAATAATAAAAATTCGTAATACTTTTATCACGGATTCTATCAAAACTACAATCAATAAATTCACGTATCCCGTATGAATTCACAAGTAGAGGTTACAACTCGATTCGTATTCTTATATCGAATAATTGCATAAGTAAACGTAATCGATAGCATCTGAATTATAACATCGATATTGCTTCTGAATACAATAACGACAAACATGTTTATTTAACTAACAATAGACTTATTCAATAGAACAATTTTACAATCGATTATTTATACATCTAATGACATATTTTCAAAATAAATCAACAGTTTTTAAACCTTTAATAACAACAATAATATTATGTTTACCTCGAGTTTATTTGTAAGGATGTGTCAAATAAACAATCCAATAAAAAAATAAAGGGTGAATATGATTCATGCAAGATTTATCCAAGAATTATTTTTTATTTTTCGATATATAGCTAATTTGATCCTTTTAGATCACCTTTTTATAAGAGTTTTAATTCTAGTCTAAATAATGAGTTATATGCTTAACTAAAATTTAGAAGTCCAAAGATATAATTAAGAGATTGTATGAAAAAGAAGGGAGTGAATTCAGATATCCAAGTCTCCAGATAGATTAGTAGATATGCCGACCCACTGTAGGGAATAGGGTAAATTGATGAAGTCATAATTACTTTCAGATATCGCTTATTACCTTTTTTATTCCTAAACATGTGAACTTTGTAATTCATTGTTTGCATTATTTGCTTGTTACTTACCCATTATGCAGGAACAAATCGCAATTAGGTCTTGCACCATAGTAGATGAATATTTGTTCACCAGCTTTGAAATTCCGTAGAGCAAAGCATTCGCTTCTATCCCTCTCCTCACTGTATTCCGTCGTTATCTGAAACGTTTAACAACATTGGATGTTAAATCAAATCTGATAGTTAAACTAGAGATTGAATTTCTATCCAAAATATTATGAGACCGTAGGTGTATAAATGAATCCATGTTAATATGTTTGGAATAAACACGAAAAAGCATTTATTCTCCTCCTAGTTGCAGCAAGCTAATTTAAAACTTAAAAACGGGGATTACGTTCCATTATGATTTAAATTAAATCTCCTTTCTATCTATGGTATCTCTTCTTTCTTATAAAAGTTAATAATCATATCTCAATTAACATTAATTTCTCGTATATCTCATAACCAACTAGAAAATTAAGCAACAACAATAATTATTCCAAGAGCGTGTAGAGGTTTTGCTTTGATGTAAGTCTTCCTGACTATTGTTCGTTACATCAGCTCTATTCTCCACACTGGTAAACCGACCCGGCTTCGTACTGGTAAAAACAACAAATGAAAGAACTGAATAATTTCCATAATTTCATCTATACTAATATTATAAAGAGAAATTTGTACTTTTGTATGTACTGAAATAACTCAAAAACTACTAAGCCGATTTAAATAATTCTTTCGCCATTTAAAAGCTACGTTAACGCAGAGTAACATGGGCAATTTTTTTTCCATTTTTTAAAATCTCACATGGACGATGTCGCAAGCAACAGTTAGTTTATGTTGTACTGCAGTATACTATTGGCCACTTATAGACAGTCTTATATAGTGTTTTTTTACACAAAACCTAACCTTGGTGACCACGTAATAGTTCTTAGTGTGTCAGATTTAGTTGTAGACTAGTTGTCTTTAAAAAATCTATATTATCATAAACTAAGGGCCATAGAGTTTCTTAAGACTGCGTACCTTGCCTTGTTCATGGTTGCACATGTCCCATAGCGGTATGAAAGCGGTCATAGTGCCGTCTGCCAGTTGTATGTTGTTCTGACGCGTCATCACTGTTGACGCAGCCCATCTGAATACAAAATTTGCATTACTCAGCATTACCTATAATGTTTATACCATATGCGGATGCACTCTCACACGTAAGGGATAACCAGCTCATCTGCATTTACGAGATATGAATATAAACGCGTTAAGGGACTGAATAATTTAGTGCTGAAGATTATTATTTCTGAGTGGACATGATAAATAGTCAAACTAACGACAGTTTTTTTATTCATTACACACTAGATATCGCCCGTTCTCCATGGAATAAAAAAAATAAAAGCAACTACCCTATAAGTTGTTCCAGACTATCCTCTATATCTATGCTAAATTTCTTCGTGATCCGTTTATCAGTTTCGGCTTCTAACAAACATCCATCCATCTAAACTTTCATGGGAAATGGTTATATTAGTTAGAAGTAAGATATGTTATGGATATTTAAGAGGAAGTTGGAAGTGTGATGGATAACTAGAAGTTCGTTTAAAGTTAAATTACATAACAAAATATCACTTAAAGCTAGCGAAAGCAAGTACATGAACACAATAAGATTTAGAGATAATTAAACTCATTTAGCAAGCTTTCCTTTCATTGTACCTACATAATATCAACGTTGCAGTTTGTGATGGGAAAATGGCTTCATTTAATTATGTAAAACGTAAACATAATTAATTATTAATTACAAAAACCTACTCATGCAACGTTACTATGACGGAAGTCACTAATGAATTTATTAATTTACTAATTCCTTAGTGACTTTTCACACCTTCAAAGTCGTATTTAATTATATCGTAATATTATAGCTTTCACCCGAGACTCAGTCCGCGTGGAACTGTAACATCCATCCATCCATCTAAACTATGGCATTTATAATAGAAGTATGATATTTAATTATATCGTAATTGATCACTAAAAATACATTGACATTTACAAGATACTTCTTAATTCATTTATAGCTATCAGTTGCATTCTCTCATACACATTTAGTACTTTGTATCCTTTCAAATCTGACAATTCGGCTGCAGATCGTATCTTTTGTAAACAATGGTTATTTGTTTTCTTCTATTAGTCGGTTCTTCCTGCTTCGGAGGAGGCATTTACAAATTGTCGGCGTCGAGCATGCGCGATTCTGTTATGATAATAACGCCTCAGCCCGTCCGGTGCTTTGTTGACGATTGTTACAATTTTACGATTGTCTAATGAATTTTGGTACTGATTTTACTTTCAAAATTTCTTTACTTTCCAAAGCGGTATCCTCTTTTTAAGCTACCAAGGATTGCCAAATGCAACACTTTAGTAGTCCATTCATGAACTTGATGGCAAATTCACCAAAAATACATACATGGACTCAATTTAAATAAAAAAACAGTAGTGGAAAGACGCCAAATGTTACCAACACATCGAAAGAAAAAGCATTATTTATAGAATTATACAACCGAAGTAAAATTACATAAAATGTCGAAAAGGTACGAAAGAAGTAATGGGTACTCGTTACCTTTCTCGGCTCTATGCCAAGTGCGGTTGTGCGAAATATTGCGTAAATATGATCCCGTTGAAAGTGACAGCATTGTCTAGACGTAACATGGTAAAGAATAAACTTTGTGGTATCTTTCTTGAAAACAAATCACGCAAAATATTTTAACAAACAGCATAAGCTACACTTACAAGAATTGTACTCCAGAAAATTATTCTTTTTTACGCTAAAATTTGCTGTGGTACTGCGAAAGATAAACAAAACTCAAACGATTAAAGTTATAAACACCAACAAGTATCACCAGTGGAGCGATAATTCCGGCTTTCCAAGTCGCTTAGCAGATGACAAGGCGTGAGATATTACGTACTTTGACTCTAGTCGGGCTTCGAGAAACAAGTGATAAGGTCAATGTACCCTCATTATTGTCGACTTCAAGAGAGAGTTTATAGATTCTATACTACAAAATTACATCACACTTCCAATCATACTCGTACTAATATTATAATTACGAAAGTTTAGATGGATGGATGGATGTTTTTTAGAGTTTGTAACCTACACGGCTGAACGGATTTCTATGAAATTTGGTATAAATATAGAGGATATTGTTGAAGAACACATAGATTTTTACTTTTGTTTTTTTTTAATACCACGCGGACGGAGTCGCGAGCGAAAGCTAGTGGTATATAATTTTAAATTGAATTACAAAACGTTTATTTATTTAAATAATTATGGTACAAAGTAGAATACTTATGTAATTTTTACACAAATAAACAAAAAGTAAGTTGTATCTTTACATAACTCATTAGTGGATTTTCTATGGTACTTCTAATTAAATTGTTTAAATTAAAAAAATGTTCTCACGTATTTTATCCTAAATCTGTGGGTAGTCGGAGATATCAATCACTATTCACATCTTCACAAACACATTAGTTATAGAGGTGAAAGCCTTAGCCCTACAAACCGATGTTTACAATTAAAAAGTAAAAAGTAGACCAATAAAAGTATATAACGTCTTTAAAATCATAGTATCTTTAGAGCGTGCGCACACCAAAACAACTATTTTGTCTCGCTTTGATTCCTATGAGAATTATACGGAGGTGCGCACAATACTCCATTTTAGGTGTGCTACTAAACTGTGAAATTAGCTGCGAAACAATCGACAATCGCACAACCGTTGTGCGATAATTAAGTCACAATTGCGCGCCCGCTCTTACTGTTCTAGATTGGTTAATTTATCATTCTTTCACTTTATAAATCGATGCAAATGATCGAAACAAATGTATAATAACGCGTAACTGATGATTTAGCATTTCTGCGATTCACGAACAAAATCTTACCGATGTAGAAAGCTGTAAATATTACATAAACCGTTGAGAATCTTCCAATACGGTAAAACGTTTGAAAGTCGATTATGCATTGCAACTTAATTATATTTAATAATTGAATATTTTTATTTAAGAAACACTAAGAGCTATTAACAATTCAAACCGTACCGTATCTTTTCGTTGGTTCATTATTGAAATATACATTTAAACGTGGTTTAAGAATAATTAATAGAGGATGTAATAAATAATAATGGATGATGTCTCAACAAAACCAGAAATGTGCGACTAGTCCTAATGTTTTATTTATGGCCGGTTTCCCAAGTACTTTTACCGTTCGTTAGTGTTTATGTTTCGATAACTCCATTCAATGCGTTTCTAAACTACCTAACTAGATTTTGACCCTTTCAAAACTTGGTTCAGTCTAACACTAATGAATAACTAGTAAATCTATACTAATATTTTAAATAGGAAATATTTGTATTTTTGTGTTTTAATATTTTTGTGTTTTTGTAAGTATTGAAATAACTCAAAAACTAATGGATCAATTTTAGAAATTCTTTTATCATTAGAAAGGTAATTTAATTGTAAATAACATAGGCTAAGTATTTTTTTTTAATTTGTTATTTTTTAACAGCTAGTGATAAAATAAATGGAAACTTCAGCAACCCAGCGTTAACATTTTTCACTACAATATGTTGATATTACACTACGCTCTGATTGTGTCGTACGATGACATCTCTACCTACCCGTTATTATGTAACGCAAAATGTAGCGAAATATTACAAGAAAGAACAAAAGAAAAGTCACCGCGGCGTGCCAAATCAATTCTGATTCCGACCACCACAATACGGGATTGTTTAATTTTTTTTTAACCATTTGCTTTTTTTTTAACCTTGTTATAGTGTAAGGCTGATAACAGCCAGTTGCTTTCTCTAATTTCTTGGACCCTTAAAAGGGTTTTCAAAACAAAAGATAGAGGTTTTCACGGTGCAGATATTCTACATTTTTAATAATCAGAAATAAGAGAAGGTAGACCAGCGTAGGGTGGTAACACATAGGCTTACTTTTGTGTTTTTTAATTCGACGCGGACGTATTCGCGGGCAAAAGCTAGTTCAATAATGAAATACGTTAACATGTAGTGAAAGAGTAACAGAGATATTTATCCGCACGTCGCATTCCTTGCAGGAGGCGGCGCGCGAGCATACCGTTTCACATACATCGTGCAGCGATATACTAGCGATTACTCCATGCTAATGCTATGTTTATAAACTGCCACCTTCAATAACCACCATATCTACAACTAAATGAACATTCATTTTTTTAACTAGAAAGGAGCAAATGCCTAATACTATCGTCCTTACGTCCATTGAAGCCTTTGTTACTTGTTAATGACTAGTATTAATCTCGTTTGGGAGACTCTGCTTTTACAGATCTTGGCATGAATATAAAGAGAGTTACATGTTGAGTTTGTTATCACTATGTCTAATAGTTATTTCTTTTCACGGACTAAAATGACTCGATTTGCCGTCTCTGTAATTCAAAATTGGAATATCGACAGATATACGACAAACTAGATTATCAATTAATACTATACAATACTAATATTATAAAGAGGAAAGATTTGTATTTTTCGGTTTTTGTATGTATTTGATTCAAGCAAAAACTACTGGGCCGATTTTAAAATCCTTCACCATTAAAAAGGTAATTTATCTGTGAGTAACATAGACTATATTTTGTATTATTTTTCCATTTCAAGCGGGCGAAGCCGTATTAAATATGTATGTCAACTAATGTATGTAGTTAAATACTCACATAATCCAGAGGAGAATTAATTTAGAAATTTAATTGGCGCAGTCATGGAGCACCTTCAGCATAAACTCTCTTAAGAAAGATGGTAAGCCATTAGTCAAATGGTTTTTATAAACATGTCAGTAAATTTATATTTTTTTAAAAACATAACAAATATAAAGAATACTAATGATGACTATGCGATGACGTTACGAGTTTATAAACTTGTAAGAATAATAGTTCTTTCATAATTAAAAAAAAGAGGTTAAAAATGAATGGACTATATTTATAAATCTTCAGTAAAAAGTGTAAATCGTTTGTATCGATTTATGTGAAGAATAATTGCCTTTCACAAAACAAATTTGATTGATAATAAATATAGGCATATTTATAAATTTTTACCGAATTCAATGGAAGAAAAGTTTATTTTATATTTCCATGTATTGTTCGTTTTCCATCTTAGTGCAAAGCGCGGGGCATGAATCTGCGAGTCGGCCAGCGAGCTCCCGCATTCGCACCTATCGAGCAGTCGTAAGCCAACGTGTGTCACTTTCCTATACGAAAAAAAACCGCAAAGTTCGGTAAAAAAACGTTTATTTTTTAAATTTTCAAACAGCCAGTAACATTGTTTCGTACATTGTTAGCGACCAGCTATAATTTAAAGTTTTAAAAATAAAACAGTGATAATGTGGAAATTAAAAATCGAACGATTCGAAATCGCCAACAGTTGTATGTGAAGTTGATATCAGTTTTGTTTTTTCTACTTCTTCCTTTTTTATTCTATTTTTCATTCTTTGTCTCCAAGAGGCGTTAACGGATTTTTCTTCTGGTGTTTTCAAGTGAATTTTGTGTAAACTAAGGTTATCTTGGATTTTTTGTTTGGTATAATATGGGTGTATATCTGCGAAGAACCATGCCGCTGTTAAGTACATTGGCCGCACTGGTTATTATTGTGAATTCTGCGGAAGAAGATTTGGACGAGTATGCACGGGAACTACGACCGAGGACAATGGAGACGGACACCACCAATTACGATGTGGTAATTACATTTAAATTTAATTTAAACTGTCTATGACTAACTATATTATTAACTGTAGACCCATGATATTAATTTACAACGATTTGTTGCTATGCTTATTAACTGCTTTATGCTGGTAATAAGGTGTGGTTATTCACAGATCGCCCATATTGATTAAAGCATTAAAAGTTATAACAAAATCCTGAGCATAATTGAATTATTTAATAAATATTAATATTTGTTCGTTCAGAATTCTATATCATTATAGTAGTCACAGTGACTAGGTATTGAAGTGAAATTTTCACTTGAAACCATCGCTATGTAGGCAATACCATGATAGACTTTGCTTAGAAACTGCCTTATAAATAGTAAAAAATCTACACTAAAGGTATCCATTACTGTAAAATCAACAATACTAAGTGCAGCAAAAAACTTTCAAAGTAATACAACTGTTAAACAAAGGTCAATATGGAGGTTACCGGCAACATCATGAAGTTGATGGGGTTCTTAGGAGAATTGGGCACGGGTCATTCCATGTCCTGCCTACACTCAAAATACTCGCTAGTCGTGGAGAGTGAGATTACATACATCTTACATACATACAGATACATATCAGAACTTTTACTAGTTAAATCGAATGTATTAGAACAATATCTATTATGCTTTGATAAAAAAAAACATTCTTGATATCACCAATGGGTCAGCTACTGTTAAAACTCGTAAACCTAAAATGTTATTGTTTTGTGTATAAAGGGAAATGGTAGACGTAATTACCGATAATGAGGTACGCAGGTTTAGGTATAAGAAAGGAATGTGTGACGTAACATACGTTTTTGTGATAGATATGACTTTAGGCACCTCTTCTTGTCAATCGTTAGAGGATTTTTTTGTATTGTCTTATATGACAATAACAAATAGACCTTTGTAGCACAGAACATTTAACTGTATAACTTTAAAAGTTTGAATAAATCAAAAAATTGATTGGTTCAAAACTATGATTTCTTATGATCAATTTCTTGTAATAAATGATATCGTCTGATAAGTATATACTCTCTGGAAACAAGTTTTCTAAAGAAATCAGACATCTCTGATCTGGAAATGTAAGTAGGCCGGGCTTGGAACTTGTTGGTAGATAATAGAAATAGTAAAGACATCATAGAATCATACTTCATTCTAATATTATAAATGAAAATGTTTAGATGGATGGAAGGATGATTGTTAGAGTTTGTAGCCTAAACGGTGGAACAGATTTCGATTAAATTTGTTACAGATGTAGAGGATAGTCTGGAAGAACACATAGGCTACTCAATTTTGTTTTCTTAATTTTACGCGAACGGAGTAGCGGGGGAAAACTAGTATTAGATAAAAAAATCTTTAAAACAAACGTCACTGCAATTTGGATAAGACCTCAACATACAAACAAAAGACACTCAGCCTGCAAGCTAATCTTGCAATCATAAAATGACTAGCAATCACTCTACGAATGTGAAAGCCGTAATACAATTGGAATCGAATCTATAATATGAAAGCGATTGCTCTAACATATGACTATCAACTTGAAGGCATTTTGTACACTTGAGATAAGTTTCATACATCATGACGCTTTGTATTTCAGTTTCCGTCAGGGAAATAATTGTACGAAATATATACTGCCCTCTCATTTAATTTGTTTGAAAAACTAAGAGACCTGCATGTTTATTGCAAATGTGTCAGCAATGGCAATTCTGTTCGTATCTATAAAAAATATAGATAAAAAAAAATATTGCAAAAAGATTGTTGATGAAATAATTAGATATGTATGAAGGATCATTGCAACCTTATTTGAAATTAAAATTTTAACCCGTTTGATATCCTTTGTGTAGAAAGAATTTGCAATTATTGTTAAACAGCAATTTCTTTCATAACTGATAAAAACGTGCCACTCTCATAAGTATTTAAATAATTCACAGTGAACATAATATTTATTCTCTATTAACCTTTACCTAAGGTTACAAAAACAGTAATAAAATACCATATTGTCGTCCAAATTGAATCAGATGATTTTATGAATTTCATAATCTCTTTACTTTTCTAAAAAATCTCAATCTGCATAGTTCGCATGAACTAAAATGTATTTTGAATTCAAAACGTATCTCCAACAGGTGGTCTCAATAATTATAAACAAACAGAAATAAATCAATCATGCAATAGAAACCGTTAAATATTAAAAAAGCGAGCTACTTTGAATTCATCAAAACAAATTACTGTATCTGATATATTTTAAACATGTAATAATTACAAAAAAATACACAAGCATAAATACAATCATAGCGTAATATCGTAATCGAATTTAACCTATCGATATATTAAAAACATAAGCCCCCACAGTGCAAGTTCAAAAGCAGAACCGGTATTTGTATAGTATGGTCGCTTTCAACTTTCCTCTCGACATTATGCCATCGCTGCTGTAACAGCTTTCGTTGCTATGAGATAATATATGCATAATAACACGTAAACTGTATGTACGATTGTTTGATCAGTATTTTTCAGGTACGGTTGTTTAATACAACGACTTTAACGTTCAATTTCAAACGGAAAAATGTATGGTTCGGTAATGAACTTTGAAACATAGAAATGATGTTGGCTGATCTTCTCTCAATCTCAAAGATCTTATCTCAATTTTAAAATTCACCATCATTTGACAAAGGGGAGGATAATTAAAAATTAAATCATACTAATATTATAAATGCGAAAGTTTACATAGATGGATGGAAGGATGTTTGTTAGGATTTGTAGCCTAAACGGCCGGATGGATTTCTATGAAATTTGGCATACATGTCGAGGATAGTCTGGAAGAACACATAGGCTATTCACTTTTGTTTTTTCAATTCCTCGCGGACGAAAGCTAGTTATTAATAAAATTGCGGGTTTGCTAGTGGTTTCTTATTATATTGGTAAAATTAATCATATGAGACCTTCTATTTTGACTAATAAAAACACATTAGAATTTATTACTTAGCACACCGTAGACGCTACCAGGTTATTGCTAATGATGAATAAATGACAATTAAAATACTCCAGTACAGCAAGTGTTACATTTTGTTCAGAATTTACGAAACAGCAAAAAAGGAATTAAGCTAGTATGTAGTGTTTGTGTAGGAACAAAAGGTAATAACAATTACCCACGAGGCAAGTCGCACGGCGCTATTCAATGCAACTGCTTCATTTTTACTTTTACGTTTTCACTTTTGATTGCGCTATTCAAAACACATGTGTTATTTGCAATCAAATTGATATGCTAATTTCAACCAGATAAACATACATGAATATACCAGGACTAAAAAAACATAATCAACATTAATTTGGGAAAAAGATTCTTAATTTTAGTAAATCATACAAAATATTGTCAACTTACATAATATAGTTAATAATTTATCGATACGGAAAAATAGAAAATTTTACTGTTCGTGACATATTTCCAGCGTGTATTTCACTTTCCACATTCATACCTATTCATGAAATTTTCATTATTTTATAGGTGCGGTGTCTTACTTAGGAAACGATAGTATTTATTTATGTGTATTACATGTAAATTAGTAACTAATTAACTATATTATAGTTCATTTTTTAAGTCAGTACAATTACTTTTTCAGCCATGGAGAGCAGTGAAAATAGAGCCCATGATGACGCATTCTACTCAAACCGATACATGGGACGGATCTCTTGAAGATCCACCAAAACGTCGCAGACCCATCCGAAAACGCAGGCGTCGACCGCAAGCATCTCTTCACGGACCTCAGGAGAGATATCTACAACCGGGAGAGTATAGACCCTACAATACAGACAACTATAGACCTCTAACAGAGATACCCTATAGACGCCGCAAAAAGATTGACACCAAACACGACGAGTGGAATGCACGAACGGAAGCTGCAGAAAGTCCAAGACCATTTCGAAGAAAAGGCCCGAAAAGAACATCAGATCAAGAGTCGTGGCATGAATTCAGCGAGTTCGGTGACGTACCCGCCGATGAAACCTTGGATAATAATGCAGCAAGTCCTAAACACGAAACTACAAACTATGACGCTGAAGTAGAAAATAGCGAGAGTCACCAACCACGGCTAACCATAAATCAATTTTATAACGAAGAGAAAAATCGAAATGCATTTGCGACAGTAGACGTTACGGCGGAAGACGATGATGACGAACCAATACAATTTCCTGCCAATAAAGATGAATATGAAGAACAAAATAATCCCGAAGTAAAAGAGAATAAATCCCTATCAGAATTTTCGTTGGAAAATGGTTCCCCTATTAAAATCTCACGAAATAGAAACGAAAACGGAATACCTGGCCAGGATAATTTAAATGACATTACAGAACAAGTAAGTTTAAAAACATAATTAAACTATTTGAAACAGTATTTATTTTCATCACGAGGAATAACAATAAGGTATAATGTTATGACCCGCGGTAAATTTATTTACCTAGTTTATCTAAAAATGTATACTTTACATGTATATATTTGTAGGAATGTCTTCGATATATTGTTTTGAGGAAAATTAAGGATAAAATACAAGCACCAATAGCTTTAACGCACCTTGATAATGCAACATTTTTTTTACGGTACTTTAAATTTTTTACCCCATTTTACTTGTAACTCTTAACATTATGTATTTAATATTCATTGTATTGTAACTCTACTGAATATGTTTTGAAACAACAAATATTTCTTTGCAGAGTAAACCCTTGGACCCGATTTCGCTAAAAGATATATTACAAAAATCCAAAGGCAAGAGTCTTAGTGAATTACTGCAACAGCATAATCTAACTTTAGCCGATTTGCTCAGCGGCGAGAAAAATGCCCTATCAGTATTAAAAACAACAGAATTACCACAAACAGATAAAGAAGCAATTGTGGAGCTATCTACAACAACCAAAGCACCTACAACCAGAACGTCTAGATTCTCCACAATCAAAACACATAGCGTTTTTGAACATGGTATGAATGCCAAAAAAGAAATCAATTTAGACGAACTTTCTTCTTCGGAAGAAATAATTGCTACAACAATCAGACATAGCACTACAGAATCTACAACAACCGTCGTTACTGCCAAAACTAGCACTGTAAATAAATTTAGGTCACATGTCATTAACAACTCCTTAATTAATCAAACTTATAATGTTCCTTCAAATGAAACAGTTGTAGTTAGTAAAAGACGACGATATCCTACAGCCGTTCGGATAAATCTACGCATGAGACCAATAGGTAACAATTCTTATAAGGGGCAGCTAAGTAGAGATATGATCAATATCACCAATAGAAGATATCAAAATAATAACTTTACTAAATTCAGACAATGGAAAGAACTTATTCCAGCAATTAAAAATCTAACACATACAAATATCAACTTGAACTTAGAAGACACAGATAAAGTAACCACAACAACGATGCCTGAAGAAATAACCACAACAGACAATATCGCCCAATTCAATGCTTTCAATACACAAAGTAGCGATGAAGCCGAAATGGAAACAACAAACATGAATACAGACACAATACCTACGACAACGGTCAATATTATTGAAACAACGACATACGAAATGATCCCCTCAATAAGACCATCACTAGCTTCTAGAGTAAGAACGCGACACAACATAACCAATTTAAGGCAGCAAGCTTTTGTAAACAGATTAAGAAATATAAAATCAAAGCATAAGATTGCAACGAATAAAACATCACCGGAACATTTACTTTCAGAATTATTCGAAATGGCGAATTTAGTATCGGCATCTGAATTTATCGCAAAAATGAAACCTAAACCAAACAATGTAAGCGAAGTTCCAATAGAAACGGTTACTACGTTAGATGATCTTATAATGAAAGAATCTTCAACGAAATCCTCTGTTCAAAAATCTATTAAAAGATCAAGACCGCGTGAGAAGAAATTAAAAACTTCCACAACTGCAGCGCCAATCGTTAGCACTACAGAGAAAACTGCTAAGTTTGAAATAGACGAAATTCTCCGTGATTCTTTAAGTAAGTATTTTGAACTGATAAGTTAATTTAAAAAAAATCTTTTAACTATAATATTTCGTCCACATAAGTGGAATATCTATAGTAGATAATCTAAAATATTAAAAATATGTACTCTATTTTCAGGTAGCGCTACATTGTCAAAGATATTGAGGGAAAGAAACATGACATTATCTGAATTATTGGAGCATAGAGAGCGTGGTTCCAGTCATGTACATTTAGCAGATATATTCCATAATGCGTCAAGAGAACCTAATCCGCCTGAACCTTTCCTCTCCAAGTCTCTCATTGAGCCTATATCTAGGGAAACATATCCTTTGAGAGCGCTGTTAGAAGCCAATTCACATAATAGTACGGCGAAGCCAACAACTACTGTACCGTACGTAACACAAACTGAATACATAAGCATACCAATGATGATGGATTTCGGTAACAATGTTAATGAAAATGCTGAAAATATAGGGATATCGTCGTTAATAACCAACTTTACTGTCGAAACCAATACGAATAATCCCAATAATATAAAAAATGTGAAGAACGAAGATAAGATAGCAGCATTACTCACGAACAGAACATCACGACAGAGTCGTGGTAATGAAGATTTGATCACACTTAATGAAATATTTTCTTTAATACAAAGAAGTCGTAATATATCTGATAATATGGTTGAACAAGCATCAAATGGTAAGTACATATAAAGTTCAAATATCTTAGAATTTTTCTGGTTATATGTATGAACGCAATCGTGTAATGCTTATACTAAAACCTATGTGATAAACGCATAATTTTTGTTTTAAGTCATTTAATTTTTAAACTAAACTATTTTTAACATGATTAAAGTTTTCAGCAAGCTTTTTCCTCAATATTAAGTTAGATAAAACAAATTTTAACATTCACTGTTCCAGATACGTCAGACTTAACAGTTAAGAAAATTGTACTCGAAGAAGACATAAACGGAGATGGTTTAATAGTTCTAGAAGATGTCCAAGGAATTGATCACAACCCGTCTGAAGAGAAAGTCGAATTTAAATCTTTGGAAAGCGAAGAGAACTCTCCAAAAATCGTACCAGAGACAATAAACCATAATACAAGATCTGCGACTGTTGTCACTGCAAGTATTGTAGGATTAATAGCTGTGTTATTTTTGTTAACATTTGTAACATTTAGATGGAAACATCAACAGCATGTGTTTATCAGGAAATATGGTTCAAGCGAAGATAGAATACCGTCTCCTGTATTTGAAAATAGGATGACCGCTAAAACTAGCAGCATGCGCAGTTTAAGTCCAATGTTATCTTCAAATATTTACTCAATCGATACTTTAGAGAAACCCCATGATAAAGATTGCCCCGAATACACATGGGATAGTCTAAGAAAACCATATTTGTAACTTTTAATCACAAAGACTTTAATGCTATTAAATGGAGTAGGTAGTTTTAAAATTAAGTGACCTGATTTATTTAAGGGACAATGTAATCTATTTTTTTATTTAAATATTTTAAGGTTTTAAATTTTTCCTAAATGAGCACTTATGACAATCTATATTGTAAATATCTCTAGTTTTGGTTTCAATGAAAATTATAATACTGAAAATTGCTTTATAAAAATTTTACTCCTATTATATTATTATGTTTAATTATCTATTATTGTTATCCTTTGAAATAATATGTTATTGACACATGAAAACTACAGACTATCTGAAATTATGTTTTTTTTTAAACAATTAAATGTAAAATTTGCCTAAAGATATTGTTGTTTCTCATAAGATAGTATGGCATGAGTGCAATCATTAAAAATAATTAATTACAATTGTTATTATTTGAAAGGAATAAAAATAATAATTGCATTGTGTTTCTTTTCTTACCTGTAGTTGTCAAATGTAAAGACATCTCGTAAACTCTTCAACACCGGCATATCAACTGTTTGAATCTTATTGTAAAAGTATGCATACTGCCTTGAGATACTTCGGTAGAGTTTCAATGATGATTCCAACACTGGTGAGGGCTGTAAAATATATCATACTAATATTATAAATGCGAAAGTTACTATGGATGGATGTTTGTTAGAGTTTGTAGCCTAAAAGGCTGAACGGATTTCGTTGAAATTTGATATAGATGTGGACGATAATCTGGAAGAACACATAGGCTACTCACTTTTGTTTTTTAATACCACGCAGACGGAGTCGCGGACGAAAGCTAGTATTTTTAATTCTAGAAATACAAAAATAAACAGTGGCCATTAAATTATTGAGCACAAATAGATATTTGAAGAACAGTAGCATTTGTCTGTGATTTGATCCTTGAGAAATTAAAAAAAAGTTAGACTGGTATATTATTACAAAAAGACCTAAAGAGACATTTTAGACGCATACAGCAAACATCTATCAAGCACCTTTCACATTTTATATTAGTAAGAAGATTATAAAAATTCAATTAGATCTCCCCTCCTTCTAATTAGTTAATAAGAAATTTAAAATAACGATATGTTAGACAGGTAGTGGTATACCTAGAAAGAGATGGATGGATTATGTAAAAGGTGATACAGTCAAGAAAAGAGTGGTGACTGAGATGACGGATGATAGAGTTATTTGTAGGAGGAAAACATTGCACGTCAACACTATGGAAGTAGGATAGTGAAATGTTAATCTAAAACTATAAATTATTTAACTAACCTAATAATCTGTTAACAATTACCTTGAGTTCAGCTAGCTCTTCAGCTGTGAAGTATAAAACAGTATTGTATTTTTCTGGTAGAACATCTATATATGGCTTCCAAAATGACTCTGAAAGTTCAAAAATTGCAGAGATTTGATTAAAGTGTTTTATCACATTAAATTATCTGTATTTACATTACAAAGATGAAATATTAATATTTATGAATAAACCTAAAATATATACCTCAAGTAACAAAAACTAGAAAGATGTTTTGTAAATTGCGTGCAGATGAAGTAGCAAATAAAAGCTAGGCCATAAAGTAAAGATTTAACAATTTCAAAGTATAGATATTTTAATTACCTGACTTGCTCCTCTCTAACAGCAAATACAGTGCCAATGTTATATTTCGCATATTCTTCAATACAGGATCAACATTAATAAAAGAACTAAGTTCGGACTCTATAGCATCTTTTTCACTCAGCATAACTTTCCCCGGCACAGTCAGAATGAGGGAGTCTTCGTTAAAATCTTTAGTTGCCTTCAAACCCATATCATATCCCTCAAATTCACTTATTTCCACACCTGAAAATAATAAATTACTAAATAAATATAAAAGCAATATATGATTGACAAATACAGAAAATACATGAGCTAATATTTAATGTACTAGACATTTGATTTATTCTAAGTATTGTAATTAATTCAATTTGAGGAAAGTATTTAGTTTTGTTTAGAACAATACAGATTCTTTAACAAAATAGTACAATGTAGAATGTGTACATATTATTTGAATTAACTCTACCATTATTGTTTTCTATAAATTCCAACAATTTTTTAAGTATACTTATACTGCATATCAAAATTGAAATTAAATTTATTGTCGTTTACCTCAACAAAACTTAATTTAAATTGCATAGAATGTTCCTACCTCAAGCACTACTGTCATAAAGTTTCCTTCAATTAGTTGTAAAGTATTAGAGATTGGCGCTGAGTCAGCCAACAAGTTGAATTAACCAACTAGGTTAAAAATATCAACTATTTCATTGACTAGTTTAAAAGCACATTAATTTTTTTTCATTGATGTCAAATTCATAACCTTAAAAAGGATTGAATTTATAATTTGCATGCTACAATTTAGTATCATAATGTACTATTCTTCTTTCATAAGTTTAAACGAAAACCCATAAGGAAAAACTGTATAAAAGCTTTCTGATGACTAACAAGTTTTGGGAATATCAAAACACAGTTACCAATTTGTACTTTACAAAACCACAATTATAATCATAATCACTGCAATACCTAGCAATGTTCTAAGCAATAGTTGTATCCTTGACCTAAACTGATTGCAATTACTTTTTATAACAAGACTTCTTGATTATTTAATGACAAAAGGTAGAATTAAAGAAAATTATTATTCTCAATTACCTTGAAACAGTGCTCCATTGTCACGCAACCAGATAAGATATTTATCCAATTTTTCTTTGCGTTCGACCGAAGGTTCTTTGGGGTACAAAGCATTTTCGATGTTTATGATCTCCTTTATAATAGTGTCGATTTCTAAATGATGATCCCAACTTTTTAGTGTATTACCAGTAGTCCGGAATACACTGGTCAGTTTAAGCACTTTATCCGTCAAAACAGCAAGCTCTTTCCGCTTTTGAAGTTGGAATTTATTTGTCTCCTTTCCAACATTTCGTTTTTTAGAGATATGCTTTGCTTGCAATTTTCGCCCCATGATTTTTTACGCTCACTTTTAAGTACACTACTCATAAAATACAAATAAATTAATTGTAAAATGATCCCATTTACCGATTTGTAAATGTAAAACGTGGGAATGAGGATAAAAAAACTAAAAATAGTTATATTGAAAGTGTTGTTTTGAAACCTACAACGAAATATGACACTGACGTTTAAATGTAACGATTTGAAGTTTTCTAGGTAATGTTACCATATTATATAAAAATTAATACACAGGTAATAAAAATTAATGAGATGGTTTGAAAATTCTTGTCTTCGTGCTATTTTCACTTAAATATTATGTTATAAAGTCATCTCAAGGTTAAGTTCCCTAATGTTAATTAATTTGGAGAAATATAAAGTGGTCATGTATTTAAGAATTGCGGGTCTTTTTGCGCACTATATAAATTACTAGCTGTTGCTCGCGACTTCACCCATGTGAAATAAAAAACAAGTAAACATATAGCCTATGTTATTCAACGATAACATAGCTTTTTAATGCTGCAAGAATTTTTGAAATCGTTAAAATAGTTTTTGAGTTATTTCAATACATATAAAAATGTACAAAAATTCAAATCGTTCTTCTTTATAATTCTAGTATAGACTAGTATAGATAAGATTTCATTCTCCAAAGTATTTTCTGTTTTTTCGCTTGTATTTCTTTAGTGCATAAAAGTACTTTTCAAAACTGTTAGTTTCTTTATTGATTAACTATCTAAAACCGCTTATATATGATTAAATGTAACAGCACCCAATGTTATAGGCAGTTCAATCGACTGACTTCTAATTTCTATCTGGCAATGGCAATGGGACAATAATATTTGGCACCACGCTCCACCAGTTCTACGAAAAGTTATTTGAAACCGCCCCAGATTTCGACCACAGAATAGCCCTGTAAATTATTTGATGGCGTTTAGTCGCATCCCGCATAGTTAATTGTAGTTATAATATGTTCGTGTCATGTCACATTAAGAAATTTTGGAAATAGTCCAATGCTATTAAAAAAGCTTTTTAAAATAATTGTACCAGCTGCCTATGAGGTATACCCCAGTTGCACTAATCTAATAGTCCGTAGCTAGAAATTGGATACCACAAAACGTGTTTTAGGGTATTTCACTTTATTCGTTGACCTAAAATACAGTAAAAATGGAAAGATCTTATAAAAAGCCTTAAGGCTAATAACTGACAAAGTTTATTTTAAGATAATGATGACGAAGGAGGACTTCCAATATTTCTGATAAGACGGTTATAGAACGCCTGTTTTTAAAATACCATACTAGCTATTGACCAGGACATCTTCCGCGTGGGGGAAGATTGAAATGTTTTCATTACTATTTTTTCCATAATAACATAAATATTCGTTTCGCGTTCTTATTTTTCGACTCCAAGAAAGAAAAACGAATGTATACTTGTACATTCGAGTACTGCAATATCAATTTAAACAAAACAAAAAGCAATGGATTTTCCATACGACTACAGCTTCCGTTGTCGGTGAAGTAAAACAAATACCCGTATATCAAAACCCCTACGTTAAACTGTCAACTCCTCGCGTTTCTCTGTTTATAGAACTTCCGAATTTATGTGTGTAATAATATGTTAAATAAATAAGCGTAAACTCTTACTTGTGAGGTTTTTTCTGATTAACGATCGCAAATATATCTATTGTTCTTTTGTCCATCATTTATTGACATAGAACAAGTTACTTAATCAGAATAATTTTTGAATCGAGGCATTTAAAAATCATACGAGTAAGCAAACTCAATAAAGGTACTCATGGATTTTAAATAATCTATTTAAACTTTTCAACTGAATGATTCCTACTTCTTATATATACACAAGAAATATTGCATAAATCTTTTAATAATTCGATCTACTACAGTGCGTTATTAAAGCGTGGAATATTAAATGGATAATTAATTGAAAACGCAATTTGCGTGACGTGGAAATCGTTCGCTATCTAACGCAAATTCCAACGCGACACACCTTTCATTACGAAGTCGCTACACAGACCTATGAATTAACAGAGCAAGGATATTATTAATAGTGTTATGAACATATTATTATTAAATATTATTAGACCACACCATACTACTACATAGTAAAAGCCTCTTGCATAATACCATAATCATCCACCGTATAACTTACCGATTCTCTTTTCTTTGGATATACATTGTCGTTTTGTCTATATTGTTAAACTGCTTCACGCTCCATTGCCGGTCCTGGGAGAGTTCCACGGCGCCCTTTTTACCACGGCTCAACAGGAGTACGTAGTATTAGTAGACCTGTAGCGCCTATTCCTGTCCAGCGCCCTGCGTGGTCATCTAATACGGGTCTTCGTTTACGCAGATACTGCCACGTTTCACTCATGACGTCACGGTGAAAAAAAAGTAAAGAGAAGTAAATAAACAGGTATTATTTCAAGACATGAGAGAGTTAGACACCAGTAAAAGATAACCCAAAGAACGTAAGAGTATTAAATTAGATTGCATTACGTAACAGGATGTGTTGCGTAAATAATTTTAATAAAAAAAATCAATGAAACAAAAAAGTTTATCTCAGTACGTAGTTAATATCTTATACAAACAGATGAGTCATTAAATATGGTACTTCTAACACGATGAGAGCTAAATAAATTTGTTTAATGTTATTAAATCTAAGTTAATTTGGTAAAGTAGCAACATGACGACTTTGCACTACCGAAGTTGGTTGATATTGTGGCTTTTACAGTTTTAAAAGACAGTGAAAACTTTGTACAAATCAACAAGGTCCAAAGAAAAGAAGTAAAGCCTGAACCTGAAAACTCTAAGCTTACATCAATCTACAAAGCTGCTGACTGACTTAATGTGTGTGAAGTGTATCTTTTAAAATATGCCAGTAGTGTTATCAAATCAAAATTATAAGCGATGCAAAAATTATAGTTCTAAAACTCAAATCACGTTTCAATTTTTCTACAACTTCGGAATCTATTAGCGCATTTTAAAATTAGTAATGATGTAATAACAACGGGATTTACTGGTTTGCATACGTCACATTAGTAATACTAGTATGTGTTCTGTGAGCAGGTTGTCTGTGCAAAGCCTCATCGTCTCTAATGTCTATAATACCGTTGAAACATTTGAGTCGATCGAGAATTCTATTAAAGGCTGTGAGCTCAGCGATCGTGGAATATATTAGCGACGCGTGAACTTTATGCAAAGCTCTAAAGCTCTGAGTCGCACCCGCTAAGCGAATATCAATTTGTAAATTAATTTATAAAGCGTTCCTTTGAAATATGTACTATTGAAAATATGTTTTAAGCCATCAGCCCTAATTCTTAGTCGAAAAATTATTCTTCTCTCAATTAAGGGCGGAACTTTTGCAAGTCTATGGGAAATCGTAAACTTTACCATAAAACATTCAGTACAATAATTTGAACTTTTGTTATGGGCTAAGTAAGGACTATGTTCGGTACAGATCGTATGCGGTCATATGAACATAATTTTGTATTTCGCGCCCCGGGTTTATTGCGGGTAAGCGCGCCCATTTTATTTTTCTCGCACGGGCGGGTAGATGAATAAACCCTCTCCACTACGGACGGGCGCGGGGCCTGCGGAGAGGGGTGTGGAGAAAAGGTCGGAATCGAGCAGCCAAGCGGGACGGTCGCGAATACTTGTGCGGATTAGAGTTGCTCTTTGTATAACGCGAAGACACAACAGGCATGTCGATTTCGGTAGCTAACGGAGTCGCTAAATTCGGTTTCGCTTTCGGAATGACTGGTACATCTTCAGGCAGCATCGCTGGAACTATAGACTTGACTGAACCAGACTTTGACTCGATTGACACTGACTGAGACAAGGCACCTGCAGGAGGTGACGCAATTCATCGAGCTGGTGAGTACCTTTTTCCCCATTACGTTTACAATATTATGCCCTCCGGTGCAATCGTAGTTCAAGGGTAGGTTGTGCCGCGGGACCCGAACCCGTTTGTACGGCACAGACTAAGTTTACATTTACACTTAATTGTATAGCTCATATTTGTATGATATTATTTATCTATAATTCAAATTAATTTTCATTGAATGAATTTAAATATCCTTTTACTTCTGGTTGACGCAAAAGCAAACGTGGGTGGTTTTTATCCGATACTTTGTTAACAATTATCATTGACCGCTTCGCACCTACTGATTTTATTAATAACAACAATCTCCTAGTTTTGATTTTATTAAAATGTTACGATTATTGAATACAAAACACAAGAGATGAAAATAGTTGACATAATTTAAAACCTAAAAATGTAAACTCTATCAAATAAATTTTTAGATCACATTCATCTGTACCAATATTATAAAGAGGGAAGATTTGTATTTTTCTATGTATTGGAACTCAAAAACTTCTGGGGCGATTTTAAAAATTCTTTCACTGTTAGAAAGATAATTTATCTGTGATTGACATAGGCTGTTTTTTTTACTATTTTTTTAATTTAACGCGGGCAAAGTTGCGAGCAATTTTCTAAATTACCAATGACAGACCTTCGCAGAAGTTTTTCAATGGAAATGGCGAATTGTCATTGGAACAATTGTCACATATTATCAAGTATCACAAAGTATGGATTTTTACCCGTATTACTTCTACTTTCGATGAGCAATTCGATTCGGTAATAAAACGTAAGAGATGACGTCGATTACATTTGTGACGCAGTAACCGCAACACAGTGAATAGTGATGGGCTTACTTCGATATCGATGCCATTTTATCGACAAATAATCTGAAAAGAATAACGTATTAAACATATATGTTAATAATATAAGTTTCTTGAATATGCTCCAAAACTAGTGAACATGTCTCAAAAATCTACATTATCATTGACAAACATTAGCTATATTTTACATCTAGAAATAAAACGTATATTCTTTTCCATCTAGGCGAAGCTGAGGCTAAACTTTAGTAATGTAAATGTTATGTTTGTTGCATGTACTTCATATACATATTTTCTTTATTTTGCTGTAATTTTGCATGATATTCTACCGTATACAAATGTTTAAAAGGTGCGAGGCCTACAAACCACGTAAATGGTTTGGCGGGAACGACTAATGTAACCATTGTATAATTTTTTGGAAATAAAAAAAAATGTGTTCTTGCCTACAATTAATAAAGTAACTTAGAAAACGGTACTCGTCACCTTAACTAGTAC